TAAGTGTATCCAGAGATTTACACTCACTAATTCCATTTCTAGAGAAATGGAGTAAAAGACATAGGCATCAAGTTAAGCTGCAATTATATTTATGTAAACTCTATTCCTGGGCTCAGGACTTGAGATTGTTATTTAAATCTTTGAGTCAGAATCTTGAAATTTTGTCACTTAAAGCAGCAAATAGTTTATTTTTTTGGAGCCCTGAATTCACCTATGAGGCCAACTGTTAATGGTTTAGAGAAAGCCCACTATGTGAGTCCCCTACATACACAAATATAAGGTAAGTACCCACCCAATTGCCAATATTAACTGGTCCTTCTAGGTCCAGTAATTAGTCTGTAATACAGATCTCATAAGGAATTCCCAAAATGGAATCAGTAAGTACAGGATTTATCAGCTTGTGACAATAATATGTTATTATTGCCCAAATTCAAGAACTTTAAACTTTTATCTACTGGATTGCAAGAATTTAGGCCTTGCTCGTATACTATGCCCCAGTCATTTCTGAGAGTTTCACAGGAGCTATTTCAGGTGGGCTCAAGAATGTGTGTGCTCAGGCTCTCCAGTCCTGGACCCACTCCAGACCGCTGTGCCCCTGCCTCTGACTTCACCTCGTTCTAGATGACCAGTAGCCTCTCTGCTGGAGCTGTTGATGATGGTTCAAAGAAGGAGTAGAGGACACAAACCTTCTCTTTTATTACTAGGTCTCAAGTGTGGAGTGGTCTCTTCTGTTAATTCCCTCATAGCATAGGTGAGATCAGAATGTCATGTAAAGGAATGTGTTCCCACGGAGAGTAACTTGATCTGTTTTGCAGAGGGTAGGGAAGAAAGGGTAGGTCTTTTATTTGAGACACGGGGCACTCCAGAGCCAGGGCCCCTGGAACCACCACACATTAAACATCACCAAGTTGTGGGAAGTGCTTTATTCTGACACTCCAACTGGGTCATCAGGGAACCCAATTACTAAGCAGATTTCACTGCCTCCTCACCAGGGTGCCATATCTCCATCCCAGATCTTTTCCATTCCCAAGCCACCTCCTGTGTGCCCTCCCCTGAGTGTGGGGAAATGTTGCCTTGGCCTTGTGTGCCCAGAATGAAGGCACAATGGCAACAACGTGGAGGTTTAGATTTGGCTGAATAAGTGGGCTATCGTATTTTGCCATGTGTAATGCTCTCCTGTGTATAATGTGCACCCACGTTTTTGGCCCAAACTTTCAGGGGAAAAAATCTTTCATTTTAATTTTTTTATTCAAAATTTTATTTGTTTACATTTAGGTTCTTGTTTTTTTTGTATCATACAGGAATTTTAGCATTTATTTTTTAACATATTATGGTACAAGACATTTTATTTAACAAATAATTACAAAATACAGGAACTGATACAAGGTACAAGAATATTTATGTTCCGCTAACAAATTTACAATACTTACACATCATAGAAGGCCAAGAATGCTTCGTTGTTGCAAGTTCGTTGTAAGTTCAACAAAACTGATTATCGTATTCCAGGGTATGATTTTGCATACGGATATCGTTATTGATTTCTAGAGTTGTACTTTTAACATATAAGCATAAATAAAAGAATTAAAAACATTCATATAGATATAGAATTAGTACTACCCATATGTAATGTGCATCCTTATTTTTCCCTCACAGATTTGGCCAAAAAAGTGCACATAATATGGCAAAATACAGTAATTCCCCAGCTTGTCTCCAAGCAGTACTATCTTCATCCTCAAAATCAATCTGCACACCCCACGCCCACCTACTCAGTCTAGCTCCTTCACAGTTAAAAAGAGCTAGATCCTTTTGGAGCACTGCCTCCCTAGCCTGATTGTGATTTCTACTGAGGGACATAGGGTGCGTTGAGGGAGTCCCACCACCACATCTCTTTGGAGCAGCTGAGTACCAGGTGCTGGCTTCTCTCCTCTCATGGCTTCTTTCTTCTCATGTCATCTCGGCTTCTCCACTGCTTCCTTCCAGGGCACTGACAGCTAGAATAGAGAAGAGCATCTACTGTGAACTGAGCCTATTTGTTCACAAGGGCGGATGGCTTACAGCCCCAACCCCTCACTTTCCAAAACCTCCCAGGCAAAGTTTTACTTTCATGGCAGTAGGAGCTCATGCCCATCAGTGACAAACGGCCAAATTGTGAGAGTTCTCAACTCGCTGGGAAGCACTATTGCCTTCTGGTTGGGTAGTGTCCCTTCCAGGCTTGGTAGCTTTCACCTCCTACCTGATGACTCTGAAGTGCAGAAACACTGAATGCAATGATCCTGAGAATGCCAGCAAGGATCTTGCCACATTTTTCAAATGATTTTACTTCTTCCTCTTCCCATTGAAACTGACGTCCCCTCTCTTCCCAGGGTGTTTGTTAGCTTCATCGCCTTTCAGAAAACTAGGAGACTTGCCTTGCTATTCCTGCAACTGAAGTCCTCACCACAGCATATCATTAAGGAAAGCTTCAGAAATATTTGGATACAGATGACCCACACAGATGTTCCTTGTATCTAGGGTACTTCTCTCTCCCTGGACCAAGGCTTTTTACTGCCATGTGCAAGTAGAGTCTTTGGTAACTTAGGTCCTAAAATTTTTGAAACTTTGATGGGTAAGCTGCTGTGAACACTGTCATTTAAAAGCTTATTTCAGGTTTTTTGTCTTACAGAAGATAGAGGTTTGAATTCAGCTTTGGGAACTTTGTTTTGTTAAGTGAATTTTTTAAAACTATGAAGGTAACCAAATGCAGCTGTTTTACTCTGACGCTAAGTGTTTAGTTTAGCATTCGTTGTGTATGGTTATGACCAGTAGACGCGATTCCTTTGAGAAGTTAAACTGTTCCATGCATGAATGTTTAGCTGCTTATTTGGAGTTGTGGGCAATCTTGTTTATGTAGTTTTCAGGAGACGAGGAGTTAAGACAGAAAAGATAGTACGAAGAACACGAAGGCACAGTCTCCCCCTCAGGGTAGAAGAAAGATTGGACTGTAACATACATGAGCCAGGACTTGGACTGACTATCTTAGACAGTGCACTTTTGTGTTTTAAATATCAGAACTAGCATCAGCTAAAGAGTAAACTTATTTGTAAAGATTCAGAAGTATCTCATAGACTCCCAGAGGCAGTAAGTTTGCTGGACCTTCAAGGATTCCAGAGGAGGCTGGGATCAAGCCCACCAGTCACTCGGTGTCTCTAGATTTGTTTTGTCACTCATTTTTGTTTCAGCTTTGTTTTATCTCTACAGCTCAGTTTTTCCTGCTTATTAGTGTGTAAGTGCCCAAAAAGTGATATCCCAGTCTAGCATTATATCTTCTTGGTTCAAGCAAGCAAAAGAGGACATTAACATTAATTAGTTCCAAATCCAAATTTTCAACCTTAGAACCAAATTGGTCCAGCATGGGTCAGATCCCCTTCCTTGGTCCAATCAGCTATAGTCCAGGGCTATAGACAAGGGCTGCTAGGGCCTGTGGGGGACTGTGGGCTAAGATGCCTATCACACTGAGCTTTCTACAGCTCAGCCTGGGCTGGTGGGTCTCACTAGCTACATATACTGCTAATTCTGAATGACCCAGTTTTCATAAAATGTGCTGCTCTTGGGTTATTATGTTTCAGTGTGGCTAACTTGCAGAGCAACTCACCTCTGTGACTATGGGTGTGGTTTCATGGACATTGCTGTTATTGATGGTGTTAATAACTGGTAAACTCTAGAGAACAAAATAAAACTTCAGAGGCAGATCTTCAACTGGGATAACATTGGTACATAATTTTGTCTCTCTGTATTCCTTGGAAGCTGGATTGGGATTCTTGGGTACACAAGTGCTTCGAGAACTTTCAGTGGTGGGGATGAGCTGGCCCCGGCTACAATGAGACAGGAAAGAAGCTAGACAAGGAGGCACCTTTTCAAGGATGTTGAAGAAATTGCTGAGTTTGTGGTAGCTCAGAAAAGCCATATCAACTTGCAATTATAAGTTAGCCTCCCTATTTCTTAAAACATTGCTGGGAAATCAAGAAGGATTTGTTCCATGTTAGGGATGTGGTAGCAAAAAGTAAGGTTTAGCATGGCTCCTCTTCTCTCTTACCAACATCCAGACCCAAAGAGAGCAGAGATCGGGGAGGAAGGAGTTTATGGCACCTGCGTAAGGGCTTTGGAGCAAAGGAATTTTAGCAGACCTCTCCTTGAACAACTGTGAGATAGGACATTGAGGGAATTTCAGGGGAAAAAAGGGAGATGCTTTTGAGGTGTTAAACCTCTGCAATCCAGTAAATTGAGGACTTGAAATCATTACAGTATAGGAGTTAAAGTAAATGTGAGTTCATTTTGTAGTCACAGGCTGACAAGGCTTACACATGCCAGATACATTTGAAAAAGACAAAAACAGAAACTTCAAGTCCAGCAATGGTTTAATCATGAAGCAAAGTATGTCAACATACTATTTTATATCCATTAAAAATGATGTTTACAGTATGTGATCTGGGAAACATCTTACCATATAATCTTAAGAAAAAAAATCACGTGATATTGAGTATCATATCTACTATGTACAGAAGGAAAATTATAGAAAGAAATAAAATGTTAACGGTTGCCTCTGGGTAGTGGGATTGTGGTAGATTTTCTTCTTGCTTCTTGGTACTTTTGTAGTCTTTCCAATGCTTACATTGAACATGTATTACTTATTAAAATTAGAATTGGGAACAAGAAAAAATTTGAATCTGTGTGGTGATGTTAGAGTCATACCTCTTACAAGCTACTTTACATCTACATCAATATGTTAACGTACCCAGAACTATTTGTATATTATCTTTGGTTTTACAGTAAAGGCTTTGCCTTCATGGTACAGAAATCTCAGGTATCAGTGACGATCCTTATTTGTGCCCTGGATACAACATAACAATTTCAGCTTCATCCTCCTTAGTCTTCACTCCCTTCTCGGAGACTCTATCTGGTTTACTTGAGAGAGGTTCCCCACTGGACTAACCAAGCCTTTCCTTTCTCCTTCTCCTTGGCAGATTATCTCCAATATTCCAGGGCCTTGCACATCCTCTCTGTCTTCACCGTACTCATCAGCCTCGGCTGGCTCTTCAGTTCTTGCCTCCCTAGAAGAGGAAGCGTGACCACCAACTTGGATCTGAAGGTCTCCATACTGAGCTTCATCTCAGGTACAAACATGGACTGGCAGGGTGATGCCTGGGTAAATTTGACAAGGGAACATAGTATCTCTGTGGGGCTTTCATCCTATTTTTTTGGTCCCTTTTCTCTTCTTTAGTATCACATCAAGTTGCCAGTTACCTGCCTTGTTTATTATTTAAAACTCACTTCAGGTGACTTAGTGCAGGGGAGAGGTAAAAACCCCTTTCTCCCTTCTTGGTCAACCCCCACAAGTTGATCCTGCCATACATAAGCAGAAGAAGACTTGGGGGTAGGAGTCAAAGCAGACTGAACACACTGATGGGTTGTGACATCTTTTCTTCTGGTCCTAGCCATCTGCTTGCTCCTCTGCCTCATCCTATTTCTGGCACAGGTTCACTGGCATACCAGGGATGCCATGGAGTCAGCTCTCCTGTGGGCCTATCATATTAACTGGTGGAGTGACTTCTTATACATGTTATCTGGTGAGTCAGTCCCCTGCCTTATGCTAGAAGGATGGAAGGGGAAATCACTTCTTGAAAGGGAAGTAGAATCTAGGAGAAATAGAAACACTGCCTGTTCCTATGTAGAACATTTATATGTCAAGAGGAAGCATGGGCCCGTTCGATTCCTGGCCCTTGCTGAGCTGCCGCTGAGCTTCCAACAGGTGACAGGATGGCTCAGCTAAAAAAAAACCCAAAAACAAAAAAGAGAAAGTATGGTATGACACTGTCAACCTGGAATTAGTAATCTGTTCTACTACTAACTGAGCCACAGACAGTTTGAGTGACTTGCCTAAGACTACACAGGAAGTAGTGGAGCTATGATTTGAATCCAGAAACCATGTGTGAAATACTATTATATAATGGAATGGGAGCACAGAAGGGTGAAGTAACTCTGCTGGGGGAGAGGAGGATTGGCTTCACTGAAAAGAGGCATTTTGAACTGAGTATTTAAAGGATGAGTAAGAATTTTAAAAGCCAAAGACCATTGTCTATTGAAACTTACCTGAAATTCCTCTCTTTCCCTAGGGATCATCTCCTTTGTCAACTACATAACTTTCAGATCTCCTACCATTGATCAAAATGTCACTGTGATTCCCATAGAGCGATCAAGGCTAGGGATTGGTCCAGTGACTACAGTATCACCTGCTGAAGATGAAGGGTCAAGGTCTGAAATGGAATCCACAAGTGGCGGAGAGGACAATCTACCAAATGCAGACCTACCAGGTGCAAACCCACTAAATGCAGACCTGCCAGATGCAGAACTACCAGATGCAGAACTACCAAATGCAGAAATGTGATGGTGATAGGAAAACTCAACCATTGCTTGTCTTAAAAATAGGGGAGAAGCTAACTGAGTTGGGAATGATTGTGCAGATTCTAAAACACCTCTCCTAATATCATGTCAATATTACTGAAGGAGATAGCATTAAAGCTGATGAAATGTCCTTTGTGTGTGTTGGATCCAAAATATGTATGATAGTCATAAAAAAAGTAATGAAAACTCAGTGAAGAAAAAAATTCTATAAGAAAACATCAATATTTAGGGTCATGAATGAAAGAAACTAACAATAGATGTGGCATATGGATCAGAGATCTCTTTGGGCAACAGGGATCTCATGGTCTGTGGAGAAAAATGCTACCTAATTCTGTATGAAATTTCCTTTGTTACCTGTAGATGAAAGGTACTTGGACAATATTGCTGAATCTCAATTGAAGATCACTACCATAAATGGAATGAACACCAATGGAGATAATACCTATCACCCAAAGGTGCTGAGAGATCCTGAGGACTCCATGAGGTCCTATGAGGGTAATTTGAAAACCGTACAGCCTATTATGTAACCCACTGCTTCTCCCTTTGCTGGGAGATACCTTTACCAGACATCCACAAACTCTCTGAAATTCTGTACAAAGCTTGTATTTGCACTTTTCTGTGCAGAGGGCCATAGCCTCCGTCAGATTCTTGACAAGCTGTGACTCTTGATTCCTTAGGCATCACTTATGTTTTACTGAGTCAAATGAGGCTAAAGGGCTTTCTTCAGCCTAACTACATATGTGGACCAAGTTGAAAGATTTTTCCATGTTTTATATACCCTGTAAGACTAAGTGAATGGGGGCAGGGGGAGGGTTCCGGCAATCTCATAGATCTTTGGATGGCTAAAGATTCCTTTCAAACCCAGACCATACTCCATGCAGAAGGTCCCTGATGTTTATTTTCTCCTTTACTCCTCTAGTAGCTGCCACTACTACTATATATTGGTTGAGGTCCATTCTTCTCCCCCTCACACCTGGCAATGAGATGGACTACAGTGCCCAGCTTCAGCCCTTGCTGTTCTTAAAGTTTAGTCACTGATGACCTTTGTAGAAAACAAACAAAACAGACATGGAGCAATTATGTAGTTCTTATAATCCCGGTCCCTGATTAGAAATTCCAAACATTTCCAGATGGTCACTGGAAGCCCAATAGATGGATACTTCTGCTTTTATTCCTGAGGGGGGAGGTTAGCAGCACAAGCATGTGTGCACCCATTCACAGGGACACACGTATATGCATGCATCTCATTTTGGCTCTGCTGTAGAAAACCCTCTTCCCCATGTTGGGTCCTCATCGTAGCAGGTGATCTTAGTTAGGACAGAATGACTGCTGCCTCCTTACTCCACGTGGCCTCATTTCAGAGGCTCTTCAGGCTGCTCCTGGGCCTTTGTCTGGTTGTAAGAATAGACATGTAGTCAGGTCTAACTTTCTCTCCTCTTGTCACAATTCACACACAAAGTATACCCCACATACTGACTAATTAAGGACTCACTGGGTTCACAAACTTTATTTATAATTCAGTTTGAATATTTTGATTCTATGACTAATTTGACAGGGAGCTCAATACTGATGACTCTTCAGGGAATGGAAGTTTTAAGTGAGCTGAAAAGGAAGCAGGTCTAAGTGAGAGTGGAAGACGCTAGATAATGAGAAAGCAATGGTAAAGACCCTGGCTATTAGGGGAGAACAGGCAGTAATTATAACTAAGCTTTCTACTTTGCTAGCAGAGAATGATCTTACAAGCAGAGACAACCTTTCATTGCTCCTTTGTAAACCGAATGCTGTCTCCATTTTCTTCTTTCTCTCTTTCTTTGCTCATAGAGAATTCCTTAAAAAGCTGAAATGGGTTTCCAATGAGATAGTCCAGTAAATGACCTTTTAATAACATTCCCTGTGCCCCCAATACAGTGCATGATAGATGAAGTGGAGGAGAGGGGGTGAGTATTATATTAATCCATGTCAAAACAAGACAAGCATTTTCATTGACCAGAAAAACAACCAAAATAACAAAAATTTTAAAAGGCTGTGATTCAAGGTAAGCCATAAATTTAATGGGCTTTAAGTGGAAAGGCAAGTGGAGGTGAACAGAAGATAGCTCCTCTGGAATGGAAAGGACTAACAGTGCTTCTCAAGACATAGAGTAGACCCAGCTTCACACATCTAGTTCAAACTAGGGACTTACAAAAAGAAATGGAACAAAAACTACTGCCAAGCACTGACTGGGGCTGTAGCTTATTTGGAGCTACAGACCCAAAGGAGACAAATACAACCTTGTTTAACCAAGCAGCCCATTGATTCATTAACTGGGTTTGTGACAGCATATGCTGTCTCTGACAGCAAAACTCAATGGGAAATCTAAAATGCCATATTATGAGACCTGACCCTGGACGGGGGCCTTTGGCCAAAGAAAGGAAACCCCAAAGAGGGAGAGAAAGAAACAAAAAAGGCAACCAAAAAAAATTCTGGGTGCCGGCCGAGTGGCGCGTTGGTTAAGAGCTGGCATGGGACTCCAGCTCTGAGCAGCAGGATCACAGTTGGGATCACACATGAGGGCCAGTGATGCTGTGCCCTCTATGGCTAAGAAGGTGAACAATAAATAGCTCAACGTGGAGCTGGGCTGCTGTGAGTCGCCAGCGACGGCATAGGCTGCAGCCTCTGCTGCAGTGGGCTGCTGTGCTACCATGAGTGGCTGGCAGCTAGCATGAGTGGCCAGCAACCGACTGCCTCGCCCGGGAAGAGCGCAATAATAATACCAACATGGGCCAATGAAGCGACGGCCTCCCCAACTAGACTGAAGAACAAAAGGACAGCAACTTGTCTGTTCACCTTCCCGATACCCCAACGCTATTCCCCTCCCCCAATTCCCCAATAAAATCTTAAAAAAAAAAAAAGAATTCTGTACCTGCAAATAGGAATTCAAAACATGTTAAAACAAAATGCTCATGAAGAAACTCAAAGTTAACAATCAGAAAATAAATTTATTTCTGAATATCTGGGCTATAGTATGATAAAGGCTTTAAATATTCTTAGGATGCACAAAGAGATATATGATGGAATCATAGATTACAAAACAACCCCAAAATTATAAAACAAAAACAGAAATAAGACAAGAAAATGTTTGAATGAAAAAGAACCAATTAGAAATCATGGAAATAAAAAAATATAACAATTGTCCTAGGGGATATAGTCAACAATATATTAATAATTGTGTATGGTGTCAGATCAGTACCAGACTTATCGGGGTGATCATTTCATAACTTATATAAATGTCTAATCACTATGCTATATACCTGAAACTAATATAATATTGTATGTCAACTATTATTGAAAAATATGAAAATTATTTTAAAAAATAAAAAATACAATAGAGAGGATAAAATCTAGATAGTACACTCAACACAAAGAGAAAATATTTTGTTTTCAGATATACCTAGAATATTTGCAAAAATTGACCAAATATTATGTCTGTTAAGAAAGTTTCAATAAACTCAAAAAGTTTCATAAAGGCTCTCAATCAGCCTGTTTTTCTTGACCACAATGAAATTAAATTAGAATTCAACAAAAAGAGAGTAATTTTTAACACTTCTTTATATTTTTGACAACTAAAAAGTGCTCTGTAAAATTCATAGGTAAAAAGGAAATCACAATGGAAATGACCAAATATTTGGAACTAAACAACAATGAAAAAATTGCAACAATCAAAATCCATAGGTGCGTTTATTAAAAACAAAACAAATGACAAAAGTAGTTTAAAACAGATAATTGTGCATTGAAATCATGAACCTGAAAAAGAATAACTAGATAAACCAAAAGGAGAAGAAAGAAAAAGTTTAAAGTAAACATCAGTAAGATATGGAAAAGTTTTTAGGTTCCACAATAACCTAAAAAGGAACTGTATTAAAACTGTAATACAATGAATGATGCTAACATTAATTTGACTAACACCATCTTTTGAGTGAACATCATACTACACATGGCTTCCATAATTCAATTCAACTTTGAAAAGGTATACATAGATAACATCTCTTAAAATGTGTACATTTTTTTGGCACCTCCGGCATATATATGTATGTTATTTGAGCATATTTTGCTGTTTAAATTTTGTGTTTATTACTCTTTTTTTTAATTGGGCAATTGAGGAAGGGGAACAGT